CCGGCCTGGACGTTATGCCCAAATCTAGGCAGTCACATATCACATTCAGAAATTCTTTTTATATTTAAAACAACGTTAAAATCCATACAATATTATAATATGAAATTTATCCATAATAAGGATTCATATGATAAACATATATATACATATATCAGAAAACCATATTAAACTTTTACGGAACAAGATACCGGTAATACATATATATCAAGACAGTAGCAAAACACATGTCAGCAAAATATAACAGAAAGGTATATAGAAATATACTGCAGTACAAAATTAGGAGAAGTCGGTCCTCTAGATGCCAAGTATGTTTGCTCAGTCTGTTATTATTTGAAAAGGTTAAAATTTACGGAATGAGCTAAAAAGTTCAGTGTGCTCCTTACGATGTATAAAAACATACAGATAAAATATTTCAGTAAAAAAAATCGGTTTATCAAACATGTTTTAAAAACATGAACACTACCCCCGTCCAATCACCAGAATTTGTAGGTTCCCTAGAACCATACACCCACCTGTACACCCAGTTAGGGCTTACCCTGTGCACAAAGTAGAAGAGCCTGCAGTAAGGTCTTATCCTGTGCACAAAGCATAGGAGCCTATAGTAAGGACTTACCCTGAGCACAAAGCCAAGGATTCTACAGTAAGGACTTACCTTGAGCACAAATTCGATGAGCCTGTAGTAAGGACTTACCATGAGCACAAAGCCGAGGAGCCTGCGGTAGGGACTTACCCTGAGCACAAAGGTGAGGAGCCTGCGGAAAGCGGGAAGGTCTTACAAGTCATAGACTAGACCTGAGATACTTCCTCTAATAATACCCCTAATGACAGAAATAACATGTATGTATTTGAATGAAAACGATAGTTTAATCCATTAAAACATGAAAATATTCCATTTTATAAATTAGATATGAAAATATGGTAATCCATAGATCATATCAGAAATATAAAGTAAATTAAATATCAGAAAAACCGTATTCAAAAAACCAGGTATTGTGTCGTAAAAATATTTAATATTATCAGAAATCTCAAATAATTCAGACAGATAGTTGAAAAAAGTAATGTAACACCATCAGAAAACACACTTGTATCGGTCTTAGTAGTCTGATAGGGAAGTCTACTACTGAGTCTATCGATTACGATCAGCGGCAACGCTATATCATACAAATCAGAAAATCCACATCGGAATCCTAATATGAATAATATTAACCTTTATTTAAATAATTTACGGAAACCTACGGGTAACTTTTGTAAAACGAGGATCGAGCGGGTCTGATGGATGAAAAACATTGGACCTGACCCTTGGTCAGGTGAAACACAAATACCTTCATAAAAAATATATTTTTGGATCAATTCCATTACCAAATCTCAAATAAATAAGAAAATATATTAAAAATACTAAGCATTTTCAGATTAACAGGCTCAATTTGGGGCTTTCGGGTCAGAATTTCACAAAACAGACTTCGAAATTGGACTCATGATGTTGAAAAACATAAAATATGACTTTTCAAAAATTTTGACTTTTCATGTCAAAGTCAACGGTTAACGGTCGATCAACGGTCAACGATCAACGGTTCATTTTGGATCGGGTCAGAACGGGTTGAGAAGACGGGTCGGACACGGGTCAGCGGGTCGAATCGACCCATTTCCAAGTTGTCCACTAGACGATGAACTTTCCCCATGAGAAGGGGTGGCACGTGGGGGCGCGTGCCAGCTTACGGGGGATAGAAATTTTTTTTAAAAATCTTAAATATGTTTTAAGGGATTTTGAGACACTTAACAAGCTCAGTTCACAATGATGAACGAAGAAGAGCTCGATTTCGAAATGTCGAAAACTTAATCTTTTTCACCCCTTCACACGCCGGCAATAATAGAGACAAAGCGGACACCGGAGGACTCAGGACGATGCAAGGAATATGATGGTGCAGGAGGTGTCGAAAATGGAGCAACGGTCGGTGACGAATCGATGATCAAAGTTTTCCTTATAAAATAGAAAAAAGTTGGAGAGAAAAAAATAAATTTAATTTTTCTTGATTTTAGGTATATAAACCCTAAAAAGGAAAAGGGAAAATCATGCTATAAGTCCTCTTCTTTAGTTACTTTCTGAATTTGGATCTGAATTTTTTATTTTAGCCACCAAACTTTCAAAATTTACATTTTGGACATGAACCAAAATTTTGGGTTATTACACTTATCAATTATGTAATTTATTCAAATATACTTATCATTTATGAGGGTTATACATACATGCTAGTAATGTTATCATAGAATATTGTGAGCATCATTTAATATATCAAGACTCAACTTGAAATGATATGAGACGAGCAAAAAAAGTAATTCTTAACCTTTATGGATATCTTAGTGCAAAGGGATTGATCTTTTTCTAAAAGGAATTGGTCCTTTTTAGGTAATAAATTTTTTTATAAAGAGATCTATCATTTTTTACAAGTGGATCAATAAATTTATTGAAAATTTATTTTAGGACATTACTATTCAAGAAGTGAACAACACTTTTGTTCGAGAGATTGATCCTTTTGACCTTGGAGCCTAGAAGAGAGTTATATTTTTTAATTTAAACATATAAATTTAAAACATGGGTTTTACACTAATGGGTACTCACCAAAAAGCCTCTAAACTCATCCTAATATCATATAGGCATAATTTTAAAATTCACCCTTAACGTTTGACTAAATAATCACTTTAGTCCATTTTATTTCTTTAGAAAAAGCAATTTGACTCCAACGTTTCATTTTGGGGCAAAATGCCCCATAATTTTATGGAAACTGTTAGTTAACTAACTATCACCACTTTTTGATGATACGACAAGTCTTATGAGTCCAAATTTGTAATACCTCAAAATTTTGGCTAGTGACCAAAATGCAAATTTTGAAAGTTTAGTAGCCAAAGTATAAATTTTGGAAAACTTTAGTGCCAAAGTGTAATTTTCAAAAGTTATGCATTTTTACCCCGTAAATAAATAGTTTAACCCCTAGAATGACATTTTTCTGGGAATCTGATTTTTGATCCGGATTTGTATTTAGCTTAAGAGGGAAAAGTCAGATAAAAATTTGGATAATTGGATCGAATAAGATTTTTGAGAAATTATGAATGATGATAAGTTAATGTTAGAAATATTATTTCCACATTTTAAAATGATGGAAATTAATATGGATCATTGGATTTGATAGTTATTTTCCATGTTAATTATGGATCGTTGGCTGAAAATGGTAAGATTATAAATTTTGGAAAGTTGCATGGATAAAATTGGAAAGTATAAATTAATTTGTTCATAATTGACTTTGGTTGATAAATATGATCATGTGGAAAGGTATTTTTGTAATTATCAGGTTTCATTAAGGGTATAATTGACATTTTCATTAAATGAGTTTTTAATTCATTTAAGCTTAATAAAATACAAATGTACATGAAATTAAACTATAAATTTCATGAAATGTTGTTATTCTTCAAGCTTTGGACATGTACTCTATGGAAGGTACTACAAAATTTTATTTTTGATTTTCAAGCAAATTCCTTAGGTTTTTGGATTAAAGTGTGAAATAAAAAAGCGATCTATTTGAAATGCTCTATCATTTGGTACCAATTATACATGCTAAGCATGCTTGAAATCATAAGTTCATGAATATGAAGGATGAAGGGGATGTTAGGGTTTTATGAATTGATGATATATTTTGATGTTGTAGAGTTGTTTCCAAGCTTGTATGATGATTAAAACACTTGAAATCAAGCCTAATAAGATTCGATCATGACTTAGGGTTTTGACAAAGTTGTGATTTGGATAAATTATGTAGGGGTTTGATTGTAGAATATTTGAAATGTTGTTTAGAGGTTGAATTCATGCTTGAATCAAAGTAGAAATCAAGAAATTACAAACCCTAGATTTTTGGTCTAATAAAGAAAATTAGGGGAAAATATGGAAAATTCTCCCAAAGGTTAGAAATTATGTTTGAAAGGTTCTATAAGCTTTAGAATGTTGTTTGGATGACTGTTTAATTTTGTGCAAGTATAGAGACCCGTTAGTAAATAATGGAAAATTATGGGGTTGATAAGCAATTGTTTAATAGTTGATTTACTATGTTGAAATTTGATGTTAGAATGATAATTTTGAGGTTAGAGTGTTGATTTGGATCATTTTGGAAGCTTATACAAGTTTAAGGACCAAATAAAAAATATGAAGAAATTGGGGATTTAAATTGTAATTGTATAATTGTTGATGTTCTACGTTTGAATTAAATGTTGGAATTTGTAATTAAGTTGAAGTTTGAATTTAAGTTAATTAGGAAAGGACCAGTTTGAATAAAATTAAAAAGTATTCTAAAAGAATTCATAATTGGTGGTGTAATACCCCAAAATTTTGGATAATGGCCAAAATGTAAATTTTGAAAGTTTAGTGGCTAAATTGTAATGTTTGAAAAGGTTCAAGGGTCAAACTATAATTTTCAAAAGTTTGGTATTTTGGCATCATAAATGAATAGTTCAATCCCAAGAATGAGTTTTCGTGGGAATCATATTTTGATTTTGTATTAAAAGCTATAAAGTGTTAGTCCGATAAAAATTTGGTTAATTGAATGGAATCAAAAGTTTGAGAAATTTTGAAGGATGAGAAATTAAGGTTAGAAATATTATTTCCACATTTTAAAATGATGAAAAATAATATGGAGCACTGGATTTGAGAATTAATTTCCATGTTAATTATGGATCATTCGATGAAAATGGCAAGATTAGAATTTTTAGAAAAATGTATGGGGTAAAGGGTAAATTTATTTGTTCATCTTTGACTTGAAAGATGATAATTAACATGTCACAAGATATTATGGTAATTATCAAGTTTCATTAAGGGTATAATTATCATTTCCCATTAAATGAATTTTTTTGATTTGAAAGAGTGTCGAGGATACATTAAGATATCAAGAACGGAGGGCCGTGAACATCCCCTGGAGAGTAGCGTGGAATGTCACTGGAGCATCGTTGAATAGGACAATGCCTTAGTCTTGATCATAGTCGGGTTTAATGAGCGCATCTGCAGCCATGTTGCCTTCACGTGGGATCCATTTAACGTGAACTTCCCATTGCCGTTGACAAAGGTTATAAATGCCACGAACTAAAGCAAAGAAGCTGTCTGCACATGCATTAGATTGAGAAACAAGTTGCATAGCTTCAAGGCAGTCCGATTGGATGAGAACTTTATCGAAACCATAGTTCCAAACAACCAGAATACATGTGTATAGGCCCCATAATTCCACCTGAAACAGGGAGCAGCAACCCATAGCTTTAGTATATCTAAGAATCCAACTGCCAGAGCTGTCTCATAAGATGCCACCAGCAGTGCTATATTGTTTGTCACTCGAAACAACACTATCATTATTGATGGAGACCCACCCCAAAGGCGGCTTATCCCACTGAATGACCTGATGTGGTCCTTGAGAAGATCTAGGCTGTGGCATAGCTGAACGTGCGAAATGATGAGCCCAAGCCAAAGTAGCAAAAAATGTTCCTTCCACCGATTTGCATCCTTGAGTGAAAATGAGCTTGTTCTTGCGTTTCCGAAGAAGCCAAACAAAAGAAACAAAGAGAAAATGCCAAGGACATTCTTTATCAGAACGATCAGCCTTGGAGCAAATATTGGCTAGAAGCCATGGTTGTAAATCAAGAGTAAAGAAAGTAAGTTGATCGGCATAGTCTAAGAGTCGATGCCAAAGGTTTCGAGTCTCGTTGTAGTCACGGATTATATGGAGTATAGACTCTTCCTAGCCACAAAGAGGGCAAGATGGTCAGAAGTAAGACAACGCCTCGTGCGCTCCAAGTTCGTCATGATACGTCGATGGAAAATCATTCAGAAGAACACCCAAATTTTTAATTCATTTAAACTTAATAAATGACAAATGTACATGAAATTAGTATAGAATTTTCATGAAAAATTAGTCTTCTTCATCCTCTTGGGCGTGAGCTTCATATCAAGTTAAGATAAAACTTTATTTTCCATTTTCAGGTAATTTTCTTACGTTTTTGGATTAAAACGTGAAATAGAAAATTTTTCTATCCAAAATGATCTATCATTTGGTACCAATTATGCATGCTAAACATGCTTGAAATCACAAGTTCATGAATATGGTAGATGAATGGATGTTAGGGTTTTATGAATTGATGATATATTTTGATGTTGTTGATGTTGTATAGTTGTTTAAAAGCTTGTATGATGATTAAAACACTTAAAATCAAGCCCTAATTGATTTGACCTTAACCTAGGGTTTGAAAAAGTTATGTATAAATTATGTTAGGGGTTTGATTGTAGAAGCTTTGAAATGTTGTTTAGAGTTGAATTCTTGTTTGATTCAAGTTGGAAATAATGAAATCCTTATCCCTATGTGTTCAACCTAAAGAAGAAAATTAGGGAAAATTTATGGAAAATTTCCCTAAGCTTAAAAATGATATTTGGAAGGTTCTACAAGCTTTTTAATGTTGTTTGGACCAATTTATGAAAAATTATGGGGTTGATGTGAAATTACGCAATAGTTGTTTTACTATCCTGGAATTTAATGTTAGACTGTAGAATTTGATGTTAGAATGTAAAATTGGACCATTTCAAAAAGTTGGTGAAGTATGAGGACTAAATTGAAAACATGATAAAGTTAGTGACTTAAATGAAAATGGTGTAAATGTTGAGGTATTATGCTGGAAGTTATAATTATGTTATTTGAAGCTTGAATTGAAGTAAAATGGGAAGGGACCATTTTGAATAAAATGGAAAAGTTGAGATGAATTCTAAAAGAATTAATAATTTTTGGTTAAAATGTAAAGTTGAAAATGTTATGTGAAGTTTGGATGAATTTAGATAAAAAGGGACTTGAATGGTCAACTTGAAGTGTTAAAGTAGACATTTATGTTGTGACATGAAATTAGTACCGAATGAGCATCAAAAGATTTTTAGGAATTTATTTTCTAATTTGTACCTATGTAATTCCTAAATGTTATGTGATTTATGATATATGCATATATGTTTATTTGGTAAGCTAATAGAATTAGAGAATAAGGTATGGATGCTAATTAGTGAAAGTTGCCTAGAAATTTCAACAATAAGTTTAAAAAATCACAATAAATTATACAGAACTGATTAGATGATGATTTTTATACCGTTGGATTTGTATATCAGTTTAGTTTAAAATAATTGGATACTGATTTTAAGAAGCACATAAAAAATATGAATTTTTAATCGATGATAGGTAAGAAAACAGGGTAGCATATTCTGCTCAAAACAACTTCTGTAATTGATGTTTGAAAATTCACCATAAATTTGTAAACATTGAACTAGAAGAAGTGTCTTATATTGTTAGATTTCTATTTGAGTTTAGTTTCCTTGGTATAAACGGAATAATTTTTAAGTATATAGATTAATACAAAATAATATTTCTTTGAGGATAGTGCAAACTGTCATAATATGAAATTGTTGTAAATCATGCATTTTATGATGATCTTATGTTATATGCTATCATAAATGTCCTAAATGAGTAAACTCCATTACATCAGTATGAAAGTTTTGATTTTTATTATAGGATTAATATGATTTATATATGTTAAAAAAGTGATTCACGATGTCCGGGCCTCATGATGTGTTGACATTGTGAGTTGCCATATCTGATTTCTTATTTAATATCGCGATGTTGTGTTCTACAACACCTATATTTACGTCTGGCACCATGGGTGCGTTCTGTTCTGTCAATTACGACTGTATGTTGTACACACACTCATTTCTGATCATGTACCTTACATTCTAATTTGATATACATTGGGCTATAAATTGAATATGCAAATAATATATTATATATATATATATATTTGGTTTATAGTAAAGCAAATGGTTCCTTACGTATTTTGATTTGGCATGATATGCTTTGTAACGTGTTTATACATGTTATATGATTTAAAATAAACCTAACTAAAAGGCAAGACGCCAAGCTTACATCCACACGCTTTGGCCAAGCATTTTTTAAGGGGCAGTTCTACATTCACTCCCACCAGACATGACTTTTTTAAAGTTAATACTCAAACCCGAGCTTCTTTCAAAACATCTCAAAATGCGCATGATGTTCCATATTTGTTCTTCATTCGACCTCAGGAAAAATATTGTGTCATCTGTAAATTGTAGATGATAAATCAATCCATTAGTTATTAGGCCTCAAATTCCTTCAATGAAGTCAGATTCCTCTTCTTTTTAGTCAAAAGATGGAGCCCTTCCGATCCTAGTATGAAAAGAAAAGAGGATAAAGGATGCCCTTGTCTCAAGCCTTTACACATCACAAATTCCTTGGTTGGTGATTCATTTAGAAGGATTAAAACTTTGGTTGTCAACAAAGATTTAAATACCTCATTTGCACCACCTATTCCTGAAACTCACGCAATCGAGTACCATTAGCAAAAAAATCCATGGAACGCAATCGTACGCCTTTGAGAAATCAAGTTTCAAGATTATACCTCCCCTATTTCGTTCCTTATTTTTCAGCGTATTGTCACAAAATTGAGCTCTTTTCCCACACCTTGGGCTATTTTGGGCCACATTTGATCTTGGAGGTTTAATAAATAGTTTAGATTACTCTAGAACCTTCAAAGCTTGTACATATGTAGAGTATTCCAGAACATGCTTGTACATATTAGAGCATTCTAGAGATTATCTAGAGTATTCTATGTTAGGTAGAGAATTGTGGAGAATTCTAGAGAATCTATCCCAATCGTAGGATCAAATCAATCTCCACAGTCCATTGAGGAGGTGGGATAGTATAAATAGGTGTAGGTTCCTCATTTGTAAATCATCCAAGAGTTGTAAGCATTCAAGCATATAAACAAGCTTTCCCAAAAAGTCTCTTTACTTGTCTTCTTTGTTTCCTTGCCAACACTTTCCCACACTAGCACGAGTTTGAGCAAGGTTGACTTAGCTATTGCGAGGGGCGAAAAGGAGTTAAGGCCGCACGAGACATATTGAGAGATTAAGTCTGTGACAGTTGGTATCAGAGCCGCTTAAAGCATCAATATAGTTCATGTGTCTTGTAGGTATGGCCGGGAACCCGAACGAGTCTACTGTTACTGAGGAACGTGGGAGAGAAGCTGCACCCACCAACTCGAAGAAGAAGAGGGACCAGAGTAAGGCCCGCGAGGGAAATTCCTTAGAACCAGTAGTGGCAGAGTTCGGCAAGAGGCTGGAGAGGGTCCAACACGACTTCAAGATGCTGGAAGACCATGTCTTGGAGCAAGTTGACACGCTCAAGGGGAGTGTCGAAGAGACCAGCAACAAGGTGGAAGCTCGGTTCATACGGCTAGAGGATATGATCCAAGACTTATGCGAAAGCATCGAGGGGATGCGGGAGGACGTGGCGCTCTACATGAGGATGCTAACATCACCTTCTCCACCACGAGGGTCGAGTGCCCCAAGCCGTAAGGGTTTAACGGGGCAAGGGATGCCAAGGAAGTGGAAAACTACCTATGGAAGATGGAGTTATACTTTGAGGGAATCGACCTTAACGACGAGGCCGCCAAGGTAAAAACCGCTGCCTTATATCTTTCAGATACTGCTATGTTATGGTAGCATAGAAACATGTCGCTATAGAGCGGGGGCTTGTCAGTTAGATACGTGGGATGAGTTCAAGAAAGAACTTAAGAAATACTTCTATCCCGAGAATATGGTATACGAGGCTTGTAAGAAATTGCTGGAGTTGAAGCAGCGGGGTACTATGCGGGACTATGTAAAAGAATTAACAACCCTTATGCTTCAAATCCCCAATATGTCCGAAGACGATCTCTTATTCTATTTCATTGACGTACTACAAGGATGAGCCAAGCAAGAGATACATCGTCGGGATGTTAGAACGGTTGATGAGGTCATTGCCATCGCCGAGTCAATCGTCGACTTCTAACCCTACTCCCACACTCGAAGAATAAGGATAAGTACCCAGCCAAAGGTGGGGGAGAAAGGCGGGAGAATAACCAAGGCAATCGAGACCGAGATCATCGAAAGCCACAGGCTAAGGAGGGAGATCGAGATCGACGTTCGGGCCGAAGGGACTATGAAGAGAAGAAAAAAGCCTTCATTCCTAAAGGAGGATACTTCTTGTGTAAAGGGCCACACCCGATGAGTAACTGTCCTAAACTTGGTTCATTGTCCGCCATCATCGATCGTCAAAAAATGGAGTCTCAAGCAGAGATGGGGTTGCTTCAAATTCTAAATACCTTGAAGGGCCACACCCGATGAGTAACTGTCCCAAACTTGGTTCATTGTCCACCATCATCGATCGTCAAAAAACAGAGTCTCAAGCAGAGATGGGGTTGCTTCAAATTCTAAATACCTTGAAGGCCAAGTCGTTGACACCAACACCGAGTAATGGGCTCATATATGTAGAAGCGGTAATCAATGAGAAGTCGACAAGAGCTATGGTAGACACGGGGGCTACCCACAACTTCGTATCTAAAGAAGAAGCCAACCGTTTGGGCTTAAAGTATAATATGAGCACAGGATGGCTCAAGACGGTAAATGCACGAGCAATACCACTATACGGCGTGGTACGAGGGGTTGAGCTACGCTTAGGCACTTGGAATGGCCAAGTGAACTTCTCAGTTGTTCCTATAGATGACTTCAAGGTCATTTTGGGGTTGGACTTTTTATGACAGGTAGCCGCTATCCCTATACCTTTCTTTAGTTCAGTTTGTATCTTAGAGAAAGGGTCTCCTACATGATTTCCACGGTCGAGGCACCGAAAGAGCAAGGCTGAGACGCCAAACAAATCTCGGCCAACAACTTAGTAGAGGCATCAAGAAAGAGAACATGACTTATTAGGCCATGCTAAAGGAAGATGACCTACGACTAATCATCTGAGAAGTCTTAGCGGAAAACAAGGATGTGATACCGCACGAGTTACCAAATAAACTTCTACCAAGGCGCGAGGTGGATCACAAGATCGAGCTGGAACTAGGTGCCAAGCCGCTTGCCCTGGTACCCTACCGAATGGCTCCACCCGAACTTGAGGAACTTCGAAGACAACTCAAGGAGCTACATGACGCAGGAAAGATTCGACCTTCGAAGGCACCGTATGGCGCACCGGTACTCTTCTAAAAGAAGCACGATGGGTTGTTGCGCATGTGTGTCGATTACCGGGCACTTAACAAGGTAACAATTAAGAATCGCTACCCGATCCCTTTGATTGCCGATTTATTTGATAGACTTGGAATAGCCAAGGTGTACACGAAAATGGACTTGCAAAAAGGCTACTACCAAGTCCGAATTGCCGAAGGCGATGAGCCAAAGACCGCATGCATCACTCGATATGGATCGTATGAGTGGTTGGTCATACCCTTTGGTCTAACCAATGCACCGACAACGTTTTGCATGCTCATGAACAAGTTCTTCTAACCGTACTTGGACCGGTTCATGGTGGTGTACTTGGACGATATCATGGTATACATTAACTCCATTGAGGAACATGTAGACCACTTGAGGACTGTGTTCAAGATACTTCGAGAGAACGAGCTGTACGTAAAGAAGGAAAAGTGCACGTCTGTCACCGAGGAAGTACATTTCCTTGGACATGTAATCGGCCATGGGAAGCTACTAATGGATGGGAGCAAGATCAAGGCCATAACCGAATGGGAGCCGCCGACCAAGGTGAGTGAACTGAGGTCCTTCCTTGGTTTAGTAAATTATTATCATCAGTTTATACAATGTTACTTGGCGCGAGCATCACCGTTGACAGACCTACTCAAGAAGGGGAAGACATGGGAGTGGTCCAAACAATATCAGAAAGTCTTTGATGACCTGAAGGAAGAAATGAGCCAAGAACCTATTTTGGCCTTACCCGACTTTACCAAACCATTCGAAGTACATACCGATGCATCTGATTTCGCTATTGGGGGAGTACTAATGCAAGAGGGACATCCGATAGCATTTGAGAGCCACAATCTGAACGACACCGAGAGGCGATACACAGTGCAAGAGAAGGAGATAACAACTATCATACATTGCTTGCGGGTATGGAGACATTATTTACTTGGCGCACACTTCACCATCAAGACTGACAACGTGACGACGAGTTACTTTCAAACTCAGAAAAAGCTATCACCGAAACAAGCCAAGTGGAAGGACTTCTTAGCCGAGTTCGACTACACATTGGAATACAAGCCGAGCAAAACCAACATCGTAGCCGATACCTTAAGTCTACCTTAAGTCAAAAGACGGAGCTCGCCGTGATCTCTCTAGCCAAGGGAACTGTGTTAGAGCGCATCAAGGAGGGCCTTGAACAAGATCCAATGGCAAGAGAATTGATAAAGTTGGCTAGAAAAGGTAAAACCCAACGGTTTTAGGTAAAGGATGGTCTACTCTACACCAAGAGACGGCGAATCTATGTTCCAAAGTGGGACAACTTAAGGAGAGATCTTATTAAAGAGTTCCATGACACCAAGTGGGTCAGCCATCCGGGCCAAAAGCGCACTATGGCATTGCTAGAAACAACATACTTTTGGCCTCATATGAAGGATAGTGTAGAGCTTTACGTGAAGACTTGTCTTGTATGCCAACAAGACAAAGTGGAGAACCGACACCCGACGGGATTACTCGAACCGTTACTAGTTCCCCAAAGACCTTGGGATTCGATCACATTAGATTTCATTAGTGCATTACCCAAGTCCGAGGGATACGGGTCGATCATTGTCGTCGTGGAT